CACACAGAATCATACTTATTGATCTGTGGCCTGTTTTTTATTTCCACCTAAGGGTATTTTGTCAACTTTCTTTTTAAGTAACTAACTGCCCTCCAGTCTGGGCGACAGAGTGAGACTCCAACTGAAAAAAAAAAAAAGCTTTTGGTTGCAAGTAACAGAGACTGACCAACAATTGCTTAAACAAAGAGGGATTTATTTTTATTTACAAGGATTCTGAAGAAGGATGGCTGCAGGCATTGGCTTGGTCAAATAATGATAGGGTCAATGACCCCATGATTGTCTTGGCTTTTTTCTCATGGTGATAAGATAGCTGCTGTGGCTCCAGGCATCACAATCTCAATCAAGGCAGGAAGAAGGGAGGGACAGGGAGGTGTTAGCCATGCTTGTGTCTTTTTATCCCAGAAGCCCCTGTAGACTTCCCTTTCAATTTCATTGGCCGTACCTGGTTACACAGTCTTCCCAAGTTGAAAAGGAGGCTGAGACAGTGAGAATCTGGATTGACGGCCTCCCAGTGAAAGGTGCTAGAGAGATGGAGTTGGGACTGACCTCTGGAGACTGAGCCAAGGATGTCGGCCTGACTGTCCTGGCCAATGTGGCTGCCTTGGACAATGTGTTGCTTGAGGACCCTTCTACTTCTGGGTCTTCATCTCCATGACTGGTGGCCTCCATGGAGCACCCTTGGGAACTACTGGCGAAACCCCATGCATTTCCTCGGAGGGTCCTATTCCATCTGAACCCTTTGTCTTGCTTGTCCTGAACAACACATGGACCCTCAAGGACCACTTCTTTGGGGGAAGTGGTGGTCTTATATAGGGGTTGGGCATCTTTAGTGTAGCCCTCAGCTGGCAGACGTTGGAAACAGCGGTCTCACATTCTCATCAAGACAGTCACATTCAGGAGCCATTTAAAGCTTCACACTCTCACACACACACACACACACACACACACACACACACACACACACACACACACTCACATAGGCAGGGGATCTATCTACCTTCATACCCCTATGCTGGCACCACACACAGGAAAAGGTGACATCTGCAATCACCTTTAAGTCACCCTGTTAGGAGGAGACCAGGGCGATTCCTTTCCTCCTGTCGGTCCTATCTTTACTTCCAGGAATCAAAGGGAATCCCAAGGGTAGCTCTTTCTGGCAGTTCTGGGAGAGTGAAAGGTGATGCTTTTCCAGCACTACTCTGTCACCTTAACTGATGCGTTCGGGGAAAAGAAACAGGGCTCATTTGCTCTCCCAAATCTTTAAAAATGGGACAGGAGAAAAGGTAAAGATATTTGGGTCTTGCACAGGAAGGGTTTCTTGAGGAAGAATTCATCAGAGCTGGCCTGGGGAGAGGGAGGATCTCAGGTGACAAAGACTGGAAATGCAACTCAAAGGGGACCAGTCTGTAAAAAGAATAGGGTCTTCAAACCAGTTTTCCAGACGCCAGTTGGAAATCATTGTACATCTGCTTTCCATAAGGCTGTAGGAATAGGTAAAACATTTTTTTCTTTTTTTTGGCTAGAATTGCATCGTAACAGTGTGATCACACTGGTAAGGAATGCAGGTTGGCAATTATATACATCTCTGATAAAAACAACAAGCACACAATCAACACAATTTGCTAGGCCAAGGTCTTCCCAGGCAGGGGTCCTAGGGGTGGGGTGGATAATGAATGGAGAGTCCTTGGGGCTGCAGGGGTGGGGTGGAAACCCCCAGGGCAGAGGGCCATGGGAGTTGGGGGGCAGTGCTAGCTTTAAGGATGAGATTTCCAATGAATGCCCTCCCCACGCCCAGCTCTGCTGCTTACAGTAGGGTCCTCAGACCAGCAGCCTCGGCCTCACCTGGGAGCTTGTTAGAAACGCAGAATCTCTGCCCCATCTCAGATCTACTGAATCAGAAGCTGTGTGTTAATAAGACCCCCAGCATTTCTATGCACAGAAAAGTTTGTGAAGCGCTGTTGCAGACCTCTGGGTGCAGGAATCTGCGGCCTTGGTTAGGTGCAGTCACAAGGCCTGGACAGAGTGGGCTGTGCAGAGGAGGAAATTAAAGCCCAGTTGTGTGTTAGGGGGAGCCTGGCAAAGCTCAACAAGCTGTCCATGTTAGTACCCTTCCTACCTGGTTGTGATGCCAGCAACATGACTGCCTGTGGGCTGCCCTGCCCTTCCCCGCCCCCGGTGGCTTTCAGGCAGGTGCCCTTGAAGCTAAGCTCTGCTGGCTGTAGGTAAACACGGTGGGGGAGACCTAGGACCAGGTTGCCCTGTGAAGACTGCCTGGGAGGCTCCTGGTGGGAAGACCTGGGCAGAATGCAGGGCTTGACAAGCCAGAGGGCCGCCTCTCCCTCCTTCCCAGTTCAGAGAGGGCGCCCTGGGGAAGCACTTCCCTCTTGGAGCAGAAGAGGCTGAGTGCTCAGAAGAAAAAGCCTAGGGGCGCAGGGCTCCAGCCTCTGCAGGGGGATCCTGGCCCTCAGGGGTGACACGTTTCTATGGGGGCAGGTGGGAATATCAGGGACCTCCTGAGGCCTGGGCCCAGGGATGCCAGGTGCAGAAGGGCTGGAGGAGGGTGTCCGGCCCGGGGGGCGGGGGGGGGGGGGCGGTGGCAGAGCCCCACAGGCCTACAGCGCCCGCTCCTCACTGGTCAGCGTGGCAATTCTCCGCAGGTTTTCCCTGACTTTAATAAACTCCGGGGCGTGGTCCTCTTCCTTTTCTGGGGGTTTTTCCAGCTGGAAGAGAGAGAAGCAGAGCAATGAACTGGATGGCGGTGGGAGATTCCCATTCTCAAAACCCATGGAGTCTGAGCCAAGGGTCCTCTCGGTGGGGAGACAGAACCAGCCTGGGGATGGGTTTTGTCACCAGCCTGGCACTGAGCATGAGACTGAGTGTTCTTTGTGAAGCCTGATTCAAATCACTTACCTCATCTGAGGCTTTGGGTTCCCCACTGTTGAAATAGGAATGCCACCTGGCTCCAGGACAGTTATAAGAATGACATCAGGATCAGTGTGTAGTCTATTGGGCCAATGAGGAAGCTGAGGTTCAGAGTGGGGAAGCCACTGGCCCAAAGTCACACAGCAAAGTCAATGGCAGAGTGAGGGTTCAGGCCAGTGGTGGACTCTTGTCAGGAGACAGTCTTGGAGGAGGCTCAGACTGGGCTGGGTGCCCTTCACCCACCTGGTTCAGCCTCTGCTGCCGTCTCAGCAGTTCCTGCTCAAAGGGGCACTGCATCCTCTTGGCCTCCAGCTCCTCCTTCTTCTTTTTGATGAGCTGGTTCCGCCGGCGGTGCTCCAGGACTCGCTGCAGCTCTGGCTTGCTGTCCACCCCGAGGCCCCTAGGGAGCAGGAAGCCGTCAGGAGGACCCCTCACCTTCCCACCTCCCCTAGCCTCAGGACTGCACCCTGTGGTGGCACCAGCCCCTACTATGATCTCATGCAATCCTCCTGGTGACCCACATGTGGAACCATTACTGTCCCGTTTGACAGAGAACAGAGGCTCCTAGGGCTGAAGACACCCAGCCAAGTCACCACTACAAAGGGGCCAAGTGAGGATTTGAACCTGGGCCTCTGACAGCAGAGACCAAGTTTTATGACATTTTAGTCATTTTCTTAGGATAAGTTTCTTTAAAGGTGGAATTGCCGGGTCAGACTCTTTTAAAGGATTTTGGGTACACATTCCTATCTGTTCCTTAGAAACCTTATCCCTGGGTAACTTGGCGAGAGACCTCATCTCTACAATAAATCAAAAAATCAGCTGGGTGTAGTAGTGCGTGCCTGTAATTCCGGCTACTTGGAAGGCTGAGGTGGAAGGATCGCTGGAGTCCAGCAGGTTGAGGCTGCGGTGGCCGGGAGCGGCCACTGCCTTCCAGCCTGGGTGACAGAGTGAGACTCCAACTCAAAAACAAAACAAAACAAAAAACCTTATCCCCTCTGTTATATGTCTGTCATGTACAAGAGCATTAATTTCTCCCCATCACCAGCCAGTCTTTTTATATTTGAGAATCTGGCAGGCAAGAAATGTATCTGGTTTTTACTGGTTTCTTTGATTATCAGTCACATGGAAGAGCTTTTGTTATGTTCACCAGCCATTTGCATTTATTCGCTTGTGATTTAACTGTATTATTTTTATTCATGCTTTCCTTGTTCATTTTAAGATATCTGGATTTTTTTCTGTATATATAATTTTTTCACCATAATTTATTTATATTGCAAATATCTTTTCTGGTCTGTCTTTAAGCTTTTGTTTTTGATTGTGTGATTTTCTTTTGATATGAAAGGGGATGATTTTAAAAGGAATTCAGATAAAAATGCTCATATTGTGATACGAAGTGAAAACCAAACCCCAAACAACCCAGTGTACCAAAGGCTATCTGCTAGAACGTTGGTTACACAGCTGAAAACAAGAATGATCTCACCCGGGTCTGATACCGGAATCGGCCAGCAGAGGGAGCAAGGGAAGCACTGCCGTCTTCATCCCGGCACTGGTGAGCAGGGAGGTAGTTCCCGGTACTGAGGGGAGGCTGAGTCTTCCTCTCCCCCAATTCACATCTCACAAATGGCCCCATCCCGGCCCTGCCACCTCCCAGGTGCCCCTCCAGCTGACTCTCTCATTGCACCCCCAGAGTGTTGCCATGGAACAGCCTACCACCATCCTGGGCCTCTGAAGCACCCATGCCCCTTTGAGTACTAAGATCACCCAGCACCCCCATTGCCCACTCAGCCAGAGAGGCCTTTTGGAAGCAACGATCAGACCATGTGCCTCCCCTGCTTCAGACCCTCCCCAGCCCATACTTCTCCTTGGCCCGCACTTCACAATCTCAGCCCAGCCACACTGAGCTACTTGTGTTTCCTGTCCGTTTGCCCACACTGTCCTGTCTGATATCCAGCGCCCACCTCCCAGCATGGCTGACTCCTGTCCCCCTCAGTCCTTAGCTGAGGCAGCACCTCTTCTGCGAGGTCATCTTGGAACCCTCCCTAGTTCCTCCTCTGGGGTCTCAGGCCCATTTCCACCCCCATCAAGGCATCTATCTTATTGCCTGGTTACGCATCCGTCTCCTGCTGTGAGGACAGGAACTGGCTTCTATTCCTTTTTGTAGCCCTCAGGTCTGGACATAAAGTCCAGCACATAGTAGGTGCTAAGTAAGTGCATCTGGAGTATGGGCAGGAAGTGAGTGGCTGGGTTGGAGAACAGGGCTTTTTTGGGCCTTCTGGTTTCCAGGGGTCCATTGGGAACTGGGCCTTCAGTTTTTGCTGGTGACCATATGGGGCACCCTCAGCCCTCCTCAGCCTCCAGGAGCCCTGAGAGGATAGCTAGGTCGGTTTTCCAGCAGGGATGCCTCTTGCAGCCCCTGCAAGCCTGAGGCGGTGCTTGCCAGCCCAGGCAGTAGGGCTCTGTCCCTACCTCCTGTGGTTCATGAGCAGTTCCCGGTGCAACTCCTGGTGGCTGCGGGAGGCCTTCACAGGGTTCAGCAGCTTCTTGGGCTTGATGAGCTCCGGGTTCCGATCTCTGTATTCTGGCCTGGCCATCAGGCCCCCGATGTCCGCCCGCTCCCTCTGGATCTCCGAGTACATGGCGGCTGTAGAGATGGGCAGAGGAGTGGGTCAGAACTGGGCCTGCCAACACACCCACCCCCCAGGACACAGTTGAGGGCAAGGGTTTTCATGTCAGGTGGTCCTCGGTGCTGCTGTGTAGGTCTGGGCCAGCTACCTGATCGTCTGAGCCTTGGTTTCTTCATCTCTAAAACGGAAATAATAATCGCATGTACACACAGGGTTGTTAGGATTGGAGGTGATGCTTGTAAAGCATCTGGCGTAGAGAAGTAAAGTGACACGTGACACTGGGCTGCAAAGTATGGGTTGACACGTGCATACTTTTGAGCCTGACGTTGAAAACACGTTTACCCCACTATAAAGGAATTATGTTTGAGTTTCTGTTTTTCAGTGAGCTTGTACCAGAAAAGGAAACGATATATATATTTTTTTGAGTTGGAGTCTCACTCTGTCGCCCAGACTGGAGTGCAGTGGCACGCTCCCGGCCACCGCAGCCTTGACCTGCTGGGCTCCGGTGATCTTCTGCCTCAGCCTTCCAAGTAGCTGGAACTACAGGCGCGCGCTACCACGACCAGCTAATTTTTTGATTTATTGTAGAGATGAGGTCTCGCCAAATTGCCCAAGCGGGTCTCGAACTCGCGGGCTCAGGCAATTCACTCACCTCGCCCTCCCAAAGCGCAGGATTACAGGCTGAGCCACTGAGCCCGGCCAGGAGAAGATATTTTAAAAGAGTAATATGTGCTTGTGAAAGATAATTTGGATGAATACTGTGATGAAAAGAAAATATCACCCTATACTGCCCAGCTCCCTAGCCATGGTGCCAAATCCTTGCGGAAGTGTCCTGAAGTGTCTCCACATCAAAGGGGGGAGTCTGAAATCCAGAGACTTCAGTGTCTCCGAGTACAAAGGGATGGTTGTCAATGTTTGGTCAGTCAGTGGTCTCACTTCCACCACAGCAGTTTAAAATTTGTCAGTTTACTTAAAATTCAGGCAGAAGGGCTCCCTCTTTTACAAACTGGCTTCTCAAGCTTGAAATGCCAAAAAGCAAGTGTGTGCGCACACAGGAGAGAGAGAAGGGGGAGGGGCAGGGAGAGAGAATGAGAATGAGAATATGCTTTAAAAAATCTCAAGCAGATAGATAGAACCTTCTGGTCATTAGCCGCTGATAGTAATGGTAGTGAACATTTTGACATTAGTTTTGTCCCTTCATGGGTCCAGCTTTTCTGAGGCTGAGCCCCTACTCTATGCCGGGGACTGGCAATGTCTGTCTGGTGTGCAGTAGGCAGTCAATGCATATTTGTGGGTAGTTGGTCACAACACTTTGGAGGCTTTGGTCTTGGGAAATAGTGCCCTAAGGCATGTGGTTTTCATGTGGCAGCTGAGGGAGTGGTACCCCTCTTGAGGACCACCATGTGGCCTGTGGACAGACACTCATCTCCTCCCCATACTAGCGTGGAAGCCATTCCCAGCTCAGATGCAGTTTTATGGACAAATGGCTCTCCAGGTGAACTGGATAGGGATGGCGGTCCGTGTGAAAACCTAGAAGTGACTGACGACTTGCTGGGGTCAGAAGGTACAGAGGAGGGAGTTTGCTGGGGTACATGCCGGGGGTATCCCCTGGGAGACTGTCCCATGGTAGCTTCCAGACACACGTTTGGCATTTCTGTTATCACCCAGGACAGGGTGCTGTTAGGAGGGTTAAGTAAGACCACATATGCAAAGGTGCTGTGTAAACTGGGAAGAGTGCTAATTACTAAAAGATATTTTAGATGTAGCCAGATGAAGAGTCAGAGCACAGAAACATATCTGCTAATTTTTTCTCAGGCACACATTCTCAGAGCCATTTCTAAAATGAGAATTCTTATTTATTTTTTCTCATCTTTTTCATAAGGCAGTTTACTTTCAGGTTATATCCTTCCTCATTTTTAGGTCCTTAAAAAATGATCAAGATAGTATTTGGCAGGTACTTTGAAATGGGCACTTGACAAAATAAACAGTTGGCTATATCAACTTGCCTGCCTCTTATTTTTAGTGTGGATATTTTTTCTTACTTTTTTTTTTTTGAGTTGGAGTCTCATTCTGCCAGGCTGGAGTACCTGCTGGGATCAGAAGATCCTTCTGCCAACCAGGTAGCTTGAACTACAGGTGCACACGCGTGACACCTAGTTTTCTTTCTTTTTTTAAATTGTAGAGACAAGGTCTTGCCATGTTGACCAGGCTGGTCTTGAACTCCTGGGCTCAGGCAATCCTCTCACCTTGGCCTCCCAAAGTGTTGGGATTATAGATGTGAGTCACCATGCCCGGCTAGTATGGAAGTTTTCTTCTTTTCTGGGATCTAGTTGTCTGGGAGCCAATACCTTAGGATACCCTGATTCAGATTGGGGCTTTTTAATTTTTCCCCTATTGTGTTGCCTATTCCCATCACCAATTTCCACTAAACCCTTGGGTAATTCTCAGTGACACTCTTCCCTTCCCATGCCCTCAGCTCTCACCACTACAAGTCATGGTCACACCACACACTCATTCATTTATTGAGTTGGGGGTCTCACAGTTGACCAGGCCGGCATGCAGTGGCACAATTATAGCTCACTGCAGCCTCAACCTCCTGGGCTCAGGCAATCCTCCCACCTCTGCCTCCTGAGTAGCTAGGACTACAGGTGCACACCATCACACTGGACTAATTTTTATTTTATTTTTTCGTAGAGTTGAGGTCTCACTATGTTGCCAGGCTGGTCTCAAACTCCTGGGCTTATACAATTCTCTTGCCTTGGCCTCCCAAAGTACTGGGATTGTAGGTATGAGGCACTGCACCTGGCCTCACACCACACTTTAATAACTACTGTAGTTTCCTGGCTATTTAACCTGTTCTTAGTCCCTCTCTGCCCCAGACCTCCGAGAGCCACACACTTTTCATCAGTCACATCTTTAAAAGAACTCACTGCACATTGCCAGAGTGATAAGGCAGGAAACAGAAATAAGATGGATAGCTTTAGGAAAGGAGACAGCAGCATTAATATTTGCATCGATATAGCTATATACCCAGACTTCCCAAATGGGTGAACAAGAAGAGCATTTGGAACAAATGAGAGAGTTCAATCATGTGGCCAGAGACAAAATAAGTACACAAAGTCAACAGCTCCTGGGCGATGGGAATGACCATTGAGAAAGTGCATAATAATAGAAACAGTCATACATTCCACGGATGTCTGAGTTCCCATACTTTTCCAGGCACTGTGGTAGACACTGGACGCAGAAGGGAACTGCACAAACAAGGTCCCTGCTCTCACAGAACTGATGCTCTGCTAGGAAAGCACACAGCAAACACTGACACAAACCAATAAAAATAACGACAAGTGGCCATGGTTTCCAATGGAGACTGAGGACCCACCTGCAGCCAGGTGCGGGGAGGGTCTCTCTGAGGAGGCGACAGTATTGTCTGACGGTTGAGAGTGAGGAGTTGAGGAGGGAGGCCATTTGGGGCCTAGAGTACAGCTTGTGTGACTCATGTACCTTGAACAAGCTGGGTCTGTTCGGGGAACAAAAAGACATAGTGTGCCTGGAGTGGCGTGAGCGGTGTGGCCGGCCGGGAGAGCGTCTGGAGTGAGGGTGGACGGGTGGGTTCAAGGCGGGGAAAGAGCGCTTGGATTCAACTGGAAAAAGGTCACCCTAGCTGCTGTGTGGGGAAAACTGTCAGCAGGCCTTGGGACTTTTGTATGACTTGGGTTTCCTTCACTCTAGTGGGCAGTCTCTTTCTGTCTCCTGTTAAATTCCTGAGAAAAAGCCTCTGATGGCCGGGCAGAGAGACTCTACCCCATGAGTCCTCAGCCAGCTCATGGGTTGGCCACCCTGGGGTCAGACCCCACCGTCACAGGGGGCCCCAGTCCTTCAGGGTCAGCCTAGGAAGAGGGGCCCTGTTTGGTTCAACCTTCTGCTGCTGGCATCCTGAAATTCTTGCTACATTTTAAACAAGCAGGCCGGCGTTTTTATTTTGCTCTGGGCCCTCATATTATGTAGCCAGTCCTGCAACCTAGGTCTAGCTGGTGGCATCTCTGGCTAGAGGATCTGCTCCAGACCTTTTTTTTTTTTCTTAAATTAAATCAGTGGTGAGCTGTGGGTGCTGGTGTTTCCCTGAGGCGGGAGTGGGGTGGTGGGTGAGGCAGGGACCCTGGAAGATGTGGCTGGTTCTTTAACTCAGAGCTGTGGCGGGGAGAACTGTGGCCTTTGCCACTCAGGGAGTTGAACACCAGCAAATGACACAAATGCGATCCTTGGACACGTGTGTAGGGTGAGGCGGGGTGCTGCCTCAGGCCTCTCCCTCAAGTTCTCTTCCTCAAGGCTTAGAGAACTGCTGACCAGCCTGCCTGCCCTTTAATTAATTAAATGAGGGCTCTGTGTAAGAGCCTCACACAGGACCTGTCACAAAGAGGCAGCTCAGCAAAGTATAGGTGTGAGGCCAGGAAGTCCAGGTTGTCCCATGGGGCGGCTGGGCCTCCAGAGGCAGAGGTCTGTGGTCGTCCCCAAGGCTACGCGGGTGTCCTGAGAGACCCAAGACTCGGCACCTGGGGAAGTGGCCATGGTGGCTGGAAGAGGTGAGGTGGGCATTTGGGAATCTCTGAAGAGAAAAAGGTAAACCCCCAAAGGAAGAGCTGGCTGAGGAGGGGAACAGGCCAACTGAGAAGGAGAAAGTGAAGTGGCTCGTTAATATTCTTCACTTGCTGTCAAAGAAATGCAGAAGAGACAGATGGACGTTGAGACAGATGCTGGAGTCATTCAGACCTGGACTTGCATCTCTGCTCTGTCCCTTCTTAGCCTAGGGCAAGTTCACCTCCCGTCTGGAGCTGGAGTTTGAAAACTACAGCGTTTGGGCCAAATCTACCACCCTGGAACACAGCCACGCCCACTATTACTTATGGTCTACAACTGCTTTTTTGCCAGAACAGCAGAGTTGAGGAGGTGGGACAGCTGCTTTCGATCTGGTGTTTCCTTCTCTGTAAAGCAGGCATTACAGTAGAATCCTTCTTCATGA